AAATGAAGCGAAGTATTTCATTGTACCCATTCTACTGTCATCATCCATCAAGCATTTATTGAATTTTCCACTTATGGTTTCCTCAAATCGTTCTTATTTTCTCAGAGGCTTAGCAGAATGATGCAAACGTTTCACCATGTTTTCATTGGGTGTAAATTTAGAATGTTACTCGCAATCCTCTCCTCTGACATTGTTCTAGAAATCACTTTCTACCACAGATTTTTCGATTAGCGTGGAAGAGAATCCTCAACACCGATTACCGTATGCCCCACTTGTCTGCCTTTTCAGGGTATATAACAGGTTTATACGGCTATGGAAAATATACTCTCGACCTCGATTGATTCTGGCCGCTGTGCCTTACTCCAAGTGCTTTATGACAGGGTCGCTGAGACTAGACTTATAGAGTTTCGGACTGATGAGTTTCTACTAGTTTAAGCAAATTCCTCAGCAGTTAACCCTACTACAATCAGCTCACAGCTGACAATCTGATTGATGATGGCGCATGGCATTAGGAACTTGTCAGTCATCCAGATGACTGTAGGCTGTACTTCTAGCAGACTAACGGTAACATGATCATTAACTTATTTGCTTTTCCTCTCACTTTCAAGATGCAATTGATTTACATGCTGTGCGTTGTTGCAAAGGCGTCTTCAACATGGCGTAAGAGTGAAGTTCTTTGCACACTGGATTACGAAAACTGACAGATGTCACTTTCAGTCGCACAGACACAAGGGACAAGTTCTAAACGCATTATTGGATCCAATCTCTCAGATTTTGATATTTCAAAGTACTGCTCCGTTGGACCCTCTGCCCACCTTGTTTGCAAATCACGATTGATTTTCATTCTAATGTTCATAGGAATGGCTTTCTTTCGGAATCATTGCAGATGCTACCAATGACCGTTGTGACGCCGAATAAGTTGCAATTTCTGTATTTTACCCAATCAGATCTATTTCAGTGGCTGAAACAGCACTGTCAATGGAGTCAGAAGACCGCCCACTGTATGGTAACCTGAATTTCATCTCGCATATCCTATCTACTCAGCAGCAAAGTCTTGAGGATCTGATGAACCTTTGCCTTCCCAGTTCCCTGTAGCGAGAAAAAACAAGATGGATCATTAGTTATTGCGGTCTTGCCTAATATTTTACTAAACATACTAAACTCGCACCCACACATTAATAGCAAACTTCTGAGTTTATTGCTGGAAAGAAACGGTCAGGTAGATTCCATGAACGCCCATCCTGCGAGTCGCGGAGTCAACGGAGTCACACACTATCCTAAACGTTCCCGAGCCTGCGCTATCTCCTGATTCTCAGCAGAAGACAACCGAAATTTAAACGAGGTCCTTCAACGTACTTCTCCCAGACCATTGATAGCTCTCCACAGAGCTTTCAGCCAGACGGTGAATGGTACCGTTTCATCTTGGTTTCTGAAAGCATTCGCAAAACGAGTCAAAATTAGCATAGCTGTGACATCTAAATATCGAGAAACAGCGGCTGTGCACAAAGGCTTTTTCAGATATCTCAACTTTGGACTCTGTCCAGGCGGGAGAAAGAACAAACGGCTTGAAGTCTTGAAGTAAGTGTCGTCTCGGGCTTTGCTCCGTATTTATGCCATTTTCTATCGAAACTTCGATGGTACCGTCAAGGATGAAGTCACAACCCAACGCCGACGACCTCCACTACCCGAAAATACCAGCTGTTTTGAACAGACTCAACAAAATAGTATCATTGTCAAAATTCTGAGGCCAAGTATTTATGGAAGTTAATTAATGTACAGTATGTTTGACTAGTGATCCACGTCTCTTTTTACATTCTTTGCAGCCACACACATTGCTTCAAAATATTTGCTTGTCCGTATGCTGCGAGTTCATCATCTTACTTTGGATGGTCTAACCTTGACTTTGGATACTGATTGAGAGAATGTTTAAATAATCCCTAATGACTTCGTTCAAAGCATTAGCTACTGTAAATTATTAAAAAGCTTTCTCTATCGACCGTATCTGCAGCTCTCTCAATTTTGAGCATCTAATCGGAAAAGTGATTCTCATTATGTCAGTCTAAGTGATGCTGACGAAAAATATCTTTCATTGAAGCTGGTCGAATCTACTGCACTGGGGGCATACTGTACGCTTTGGTTTTGCTATGGTAAACAGATTTTGCCCACGATAGAGTGCATATAGATTAGCCGTGAGCAAATGCTAGGTTCCGTCATAACTAACATTAAAGTGTCATTATTTTTTCATATTCAACAATGGCACTTAAGACATCTGCATCAGTTGAACAGCCCTGTAATTTGCGACGAATGTTGTTGCTGCAACTTGCCCTATTCCTCGCACTTCTCCCATGAGGACTGTGGGTGCTTTTCCTTTTGGTTGTATGACATTATCGGACGCGTACATTTTGTGTATTTTAAGTTTTGGTCGTAGGCCATCTTGCAGATCGGCTGAACCTCGGCTTCGTCTGACGTTGATGCGTCATCCCCCTTCTTCAGTGCCGCTGCGGTCGACCGATAAAGCGGTAACTCTCTCTTGCATTGCCTTAGGCTTCTGCGGTATTTGGGTGTTTGCTCTAATTTTCACCATCGCTAGATCTCCACCTCATGCTTCCGTCGGATGAGTTTGCAAGGAGGAGAATGCTTCCTCATATCGGCCCTAACTATCTTCACCGTCGTCCGCTTCTTTAGCGGACTCTGTCTTTTCTGATATCCATCCCTTCGTTCTCTTTGACTTTGCCACTCGTCACTTTCTCAGTGAACGTCTCGCAGCCGTCCTCAAAGGTACCTTTCAGGCTCCAGTATTCACTTGAAATGCATGCTTGGAGCACGCCTAGTCGATTACCTTTCGTTGTTGTCTGCGTCTTGCCAAATGCAGTGGTTTTTTCTCGATCTTTTCTTCGAAAGTTAACCTGTCCCGCATCAGTTAGTAGTCATTGCTTGAATTAAATAACGGTACAACGGTACTACTGCCATGTCTCGGATAATGCAACGTTTTCGAACAAGACGAAGTCGATTCGTCATTCATTACCCCTTTGGGAACCATTACGATTCATGTCCATCTCCTGCTGGTGTTCTTCTAGAACCAGGTGTAGTCAATGCACATTTGCGTCGTTTCTACCATGGTCATTAGCAGAGTTCCTCATTCATTTCACTCTCAAGTATCGTTCCTACCGACGGATGTCACCGGTCCTTCCTCGTCTGGCTTAGGCATTGAAATTTCCCATGACGAGGTATATCTAGACTTTGGAACCAATGCGTATTCCAACTCTTGATAGAACTCTTCCATTTTCTCCTCGATACAAGTGTTTGTTGGAGCATAGGTGTGCGCGATCTTCAGATCAGTTTCGTGGTCACTTTGAGGCGTTACACTTCCACTCTTGGCCACTTCATATTGCAGGAACGATTTTTGGGTACCAGCTTCCGCTGACTTCATATCTGATTCTTCCCCTGTTCGTCGACCCCCTCATCCTCACATTGGCTAAATCGAACTACAGTCTTTTCACACGCCATTCAGCTCCTTCCCCTTTCGTGTCTCGCAGAAACCAAGGTTATCATTGGCTTTCCCTGACATTTGCCACATTAAGGGTTAAATGTTTCTTTCCTTGCCATTGTTCTGAAGTTGTAAATAGAAACAGCGACTGAAGTCTGGTCCGTTTATCATATCGGCGGCCTTTCACCTCGGATTCTATGATACCGCTGGTCAATCGAACACCAACCTACCCGTCTCTGTGGAACCGGTCGAGAGACGCGCAGGGTACAGTAACCCATTTTTCCTGTTGTCATAGGGCATGAAGTGTAGCCACCCCCACCCAATTAGGCAGGTTTGACGTTGGCCACGGAAGTTTGTACAGACAGTAGCCCCAATTCTGTTAGGTTATTTCGAAGCAGTTTCTTCTAGCTTCTGAAAACATTGGTTAGCAACCTTGTAGTTAAGCGTCGATACTTACGTAAGTATCTGAGATCCAGCTGGAGGCAGCTCCTGTAAGTCATAAGCTTTGAATAAATCAACATTGTAGAATCAATCAGATACCACATTGGTCAAGGTGACAGTATCCTTATGATCATTATTACAGTCGTTAAGAATGTTGTCATCTTGTCGTCACGATTATGACCGTCATTAAGTTTATTAACAAAATAGCGACAAGCAGCATTAAAGAGCACAATTCAACGAAATACGGAATGTCGCATTCCACGTTCAGAAAGGCAGATTTTTCCAATTATTCTTTGACATTGATAAGTAGTCGTTTAGTTAGTTAATTGTTTCCATGAAACAGTCAAGATCCAGATTTTCAGCGGTTTGCCAGTATTGTAATTTAAGGAATTGAATAATTCCTCGTTGATTCCCTTCGACTCACATTAGAAGTTGAAAGTTCAACTGCTTGTAGGGGGTCACAGCAATCCAAATCCCGGTCTTGTTCAGTATAGTCAAGACGGGATAAATCAATAAAGAGAATACAGCAAATAATTGATGAATAAAATAATATACACAGTAACTAGGGCAAATTTCCAAGTAATCACAGAGAAGATCACAGATAGCTTAATCAGAATTGAAACAGTACAACGCAATGTTAAATTGCGCATATCCAAATATGTGACGAGCAGACACCGGCTCTCTGAGGATTGGGCTGAAGGTGGAACAAGGGTCTTTTAAATTCATTAT